CCATTTTGCATAATGTTTCATGAGTTCCTTGTTTTTCAATGCAGCGTAGTATTCCATTGTGTGAGTATACCACAGCTTCTCTATCCATTTGTTTGTTGCTGGGCACTTAGGTTGTTTCAAGCTCTTTGCTATTATGAATAAAGCCACAATAAACAATATGGGTGTGCATAAGAGAAACACTTTGAAGGTGAACAATAATAGGGAGAGACCTAACTTTTTAGAATAACTAAACTTTTGTGGTCAAAAGGCAGCATTGGTGTGAACTATAGAAGAGAAAGCATGAAGAGAAAGGAAAGAAGGATGAGGGGATATGGTAACCACAGAGAGGAAGTAGGAAGAAGACTGTCACATTGTAGGGATTGTCATTAATACCACAAATCCAAATGTGTGTGAACAGTTCAGTGGAAAACCACCTTCTCTGTAAACTTTCATCCAAATCACAATTAAAAGGTTTTTAAAAAAAACAAAACAAAACCCAAAACCAACAGACCTCATAAGGATATTACTTAAAAAAGTAAACAAGCAAATCTTAGGGGCAATAAGTCAGTGCTATATTTAAAACTGTTGTTATTCTTGTTAGGGGTGTGGAGTTGACTACATCCCATGATGACCGTGTGAACAACAGATGGGAAGTTTCCACTGTCCTGCAGCACCTCACCATCTCTGCCAAGTTCAAGGCCTTTGTTATGTACAGTCACTGTGTCAGTCCATCTCCCTGAGAGTCTTCCTCCCTTTTGCTGACCCTCTGTTTTTCCCAGGATGATGTCTTCTTTCAAGCACTGGCCCTTCGTCACAACATTGTTAAAACTTTTAAGGAAAGCATTTTCTGCTTCTTTAGAGGATTTGTGTTGTGAGGACTCAACAATGCTGTGGAAAAGAATTCCGACTTGAAAGAAAGACATAGTTAGAGCTCTGAGATGAGCTAACATTGCTAGTGAAAATCACCAGCATGGGATCTTGTAAGTGATGTCTGAGGAAAAGATCTGTTTCCAAGTCAATGATGTGCACACAGCAGGCATGAGGAATCATTCTGGGCGATGACTGAATAAATGAATGAATAGAGGAAATCTGGAAATTCTGTTTCAAGATCCATTTGTATTTCCTTCCTGGGGTTTCACAGCATAGAGTGTAATGTTCCCTGAATTCTAATTGGCTTTGTCATTATTGCTTTTGTTTGTAGAAGAAACAAAAGGGTCTGAAGATGATGAAATGGAGAAGCTCTACAAATCCTTAGAGCAGGCAAGTTTATCTCCCCTTGGAGACAGGCGACCTTCAACCAAAAAAGAGTTGAGGAAATCCTTTGTGAAGCGGTGCAAAAATCCATCTATAAATGAGAAACTCCACAAAATCCGAACCTTGAATAGCACATTAAAGGTAAGCGGTTCTGAGTGTGGGTGAACTCTTGGCTTGTGGGTAAAGGGATGTTTGGCTTTGTGTGCAAAGTCATACTAACCAGCCTGGGCTTCTGTAAGTGGAGGGGAGAGCAGAGCAAAGAAATCTGATCTTTACAGGATGAGATGACTTTTAATGTTCTTATAGTATTAGCAGTGTCAGGATGGACGGTGAAGAGATTGAGATTGTACACAGCTTTAGTTTGCTTGGCTCCACAGTCAACACTCTTGGCACCAGCAGCCAGGAAATTAAAAGGCGCATTGCCATGGGAAAGTCTGTTGTTAGGGACCTCTCCAAAGTACTGAAGAGCAGTGGTGTCTCTCTGGAGACTAAGGTGCATCTGATACAGGCCATGGTCTTTGCAATCACTTGTTATGCATCAGAGTGTTGGACAATGACTAGGGATGACAGAAGGAGAATTTATACCTTTGAGCTGTGGTGCTGGAGAAGAGTATTGAGAATACCATGGACTGCTAGGAAAACAAACAGGGAGAGGGAGAAGCCAGGATGCTCTTTGGAGGCAAGGATTCTGAGGCTTCGTCTAACATAATTTGTACATGTTGTAAGGAGGGACCAGTCCTTGGAGAGGGACACTGTCGCAGACAGTGTGACTGGCACGGGACAGAGCAGAGTTTAGGGCTGTTGTATATAGGGTCACTATGAGTCGCAAGTGGCTTAATGACACATAACAAAAACATAGTAGTAGGACTTTTAGGGCATTTATCCAGTGACAGCCAAGGCCATTTTCCATACTAGACCTTGCTTTTGGTGTTTCCTGATCTATCATACCAAGTTTTAAGCTATGAGAGGTCAGCAGGTATGTTATGTTGGGTTTTGTATCCTTTGTACCTAGCAGATGTCTAGGTGGTATAAATGGTCAGAACATTTGTCTACTGGCTAAACACTTGACGGTTTGAACCTATCCAATTTGGAAGTACTTTTGAAGAAAACATGGTGATTTATGTTTGAAAGACAGCAGCCACTGAATATCCTATGGAGTGAAGTTCTTCCCTGGTTCACATGGGATTCCCATTGCATCAGGATCCACTGTGGTGATATGGTTTGGAGCCTGGCACAACACCTGGCTCAAGATATGTTGTTGCTTAGGTTCTGTGACAGTCAACTGAGGAGAATAAAAAAGAGTATTAATAAGATTTTATAATTTTTACTGATTAAGTAGAAGGTTCCTTTCTTCTGTGCTACACCCAGAACTTGCTGGATTTTGGTACACCAAAGACTCAGTGTCTCTAAGTCCTGGGCACCAGAGTTCAAGAATACCGCTTGAGCCGAGCAGTGTAAAATAAACATTTTATGGCCCTAGACCAGCAGATATTTTCACAGTGTGAGTAAGACATAGTGTACAGGACACATTTAGCATATTTTCTGGGTCCCCTGTAACTGGAATGGCTCTTCATAACAAAAGCATCCCACTTAGATTAATACCATCAGCAGAAGGGTGCTTTGTAAAATAAGCCCTGAATGAGCAGAAGAATCACTGGTTCCAGAAAGCCTTTATAGACCTTGCAATTTCATTTTGTTTTGTCCTAAGAATTTCTAGTCCCTTTCCAGGAAGAAATAAGTGCAGCTAAAAATAACAAGGCCACCAAGAGTAGGTGGAGGGGTCTCATCAGACATCCCAGAGAGTCAGGAAAGAACCAAACCCCCCAAAAGCTACAAAAAAAACAAGACCAGAGAACAAAAGGAAAAGGCATAGTTCAGCTTTATAAATACAAGAAAATGGAAGCGCAAAGTTGTCCATTTACAGAGCAAAATATTATTTAAAGGTGAAGAGAGTGCTAGCAGGCATTTTAAAGGCAGATGTGTTATATCGCACAGGATATACTGAATCCTCAAACCTACTGCCTCCGAGCTGCCTGCAACCCATGGTATCCCTGTAGGACTGAACAGAATGACTCCAGTGTGTTTCCAAGACCGTAAATCTTTATAGGAACTAACTGCTACGTATTTCTCTTGTGGTGGATTTGAACTGCTGACCTTCTTTGGTTAGCAACCAACAGCTTTAACACTCTATCACCAGGGCTCCTCCTGGATGCAGCATTGATCCATGCGTTTGGTCATTCAGCGCAGTATTCACGAGTATGTTGAGATGTTACTGCCTTATTTGTGTGTAACAGCTAAGTTGTGGTTGTTACGTGCCATCGAGTCGTTTGAGACTCATAGCGACCCTACGTGCAAGAGCTCCATAGGCTCTTCTATCCTGTGCCAACCTAGCCATCTCAAACGCACATATTCCCACTGCTCCAGTCACAGAATCGCTCCATCTCATTGAAGGTCTTCCTCTCCTTTGCCGCCCCTCCACTCTGCCAAACATGAAGTCCCTCTCCAAGGACCAGTCCCTCCTCGAAACATGCCCAAAGTATGTCAGA